CCCCAAAACCCCAAAACCCCATTAAGATTGATCCTTCATAGGATGGAGATTTCTTTATATATATGTTTTAATTGGTAACTATTATGTAAATAATTTTAGATTCAATTTTGATTAATTGTCTAAAGAGGTCCAAAAATCACCCTAAGATGTGACAATATGTAAATCAGAGGAGTAAAAACGTCAGGAAATGTTAGTACAGGTAGAAAGAGAAAGATAAGATAAGTTGGCAGAGTAAAAATGGCAAGAAAAGCAGAGAAAACTAGAACTTAAACTATAGAAAGGGAAGGAAAAGAATGAAGAAAAGTTGAGATAACAAAAACTAAAGTTGAATAAACTATAGAAGTAGAGAGAAGAAACAGAGAAAAGAGCATAAGAGAGAGTTAGAAGTGTGAAAGAAGCGAAGGAAAAAGAACTAAAGCTGAAGGAGGAAGAGAGACTCATGAAAAAATAAAGCAGAACAGGTGGTTGATTTAACATGGCAAAGATTAAAGGTAGAATGATTTTTTTAAAAATAATTCTAATCTTACCAATAATTTAAGTATGTTTAAGTCATTTTTACTTTGATAAATTAAGATTATTAACTTGAAATAATCATAACAATCAAAAGTTGAATATTTTCTTAACAGAAATGAGTATTTCCTCATTAGACAATTGATCGTAACTGGCTTTATAAATTCCATGTTCTCCTCTCATGTGGATTGTCTAAAATTAATCAGAGAACACTTGATTACCGAAGAAGTAATCCTTGTTACTCTTTCCCTATTCCTCTGAAATTTCTTGGTTAATTTCAGATACTTTGGGGTTATTAAAATCTTTAATATCAAGCACCAACAATCTATTTGTAGTTTCAAGAGTAAAAATGTCAATACCACCAAATAATACAAGGTAAGATCCTTAAATAGTAAATATTGCTGGGTATGAGTAAGTGAAATTCAAATCTTCAAGTTGCTAATTGATTGAATCTGTATTTAAGCAGATATTTTCAAAATTATTTTCAAAATCATACAATTAATTAATTTCTGAGCTCGGATCTTGCATAAAGTAGAAGTTCATCTTTGATAATTTATCACTTTAACCCAAATAGAAAAATTATAATCCTCCAATTTATTTATCTGGCTGAGACTCTAATTTATTGCAAAGTAGTGTTGGAGTTATCAAACTATTTTCAAATTCATTCAGAAGTACTAATTTTTCTGAAACTAGGTCATAACTAAATAGATATTGCAACCAATTTAAATTACTATGACCTCCAGCAATATAAATTTAGCGATCGTATCTCGCTATTGCTGAGTAGTCAGTGCTGTATTTAAAATAACACTCAGACAAAATCTATGCTTAACTATCTTTAATTGAAACTTAAGCAATCATAATCTTATTATATTCTTTCTCATAGTTTTAATATTAATATTTATCTGAGTATGCTCTTACTCCCAATTTAAATATATCCAATTCAGATTGATTTGTATAAGCAAATAGTATTCTCTCATTCAACCAAATGTATTAAAGACTATGAAATTTCCTAATAAGTTCCTTGAAGTCAACCATAGAATTTTGTGGAATTAATTAATTAATGTTGTAAGTTTCTTGGATTGCGCAATTTTTAACCTTTTCATCTTAGGTGTATAATTAGTTTTTTAAAAGGAACATTGAGAATTCTGATCCCGTCAATTTATTCAACTTTGATGTTATAAAGTTTTTCTAGTTATAAGAGATCAAATTCAATTCTTTAATTATCAGATTTATTCTCTAGTTTTTAAGATATCTCATATAGCAGGGTTTGCAAATGTGGTTTTCAGAATTTTTAATCTTGTAGACATCTTGAATCTTGACACTTTTTATGCTTTATTAATCACTGATGCAGCAAAAATTGTCAAATGTGTCCATTTAGCATGTATAGACTTTATCAAAATTTTTAATTAATTCTAGCATTTAGGCTGATTTTTCATTTAAAAGACCATTAACTATAAATTCTTATTTGCCTGGTTTTCTTGTTTTATCAACTACTTATGAACTCAATTATTTATTATTGAAGGAGCATTCGGTCAGGTTTCTTTGGGGAAAATGGTCTAATTTTGTAGTTTTATTAATTTAATCTAACTGAGTTTTATCATCATTTAAGCTCTCTAATGACAAACTTGAAAAGTTGATTTCTACTTCATTGGCTAAGCAATTTTCGACTTAATTTACATTTCTATCATATTTATCATTACTATCCTTTTATTGCTAAATGAAATTAATTTGACCAGTTGTGTTTTTTTATATAGTCTCTAAATTTGTATCTTTCGATGAAATTTTCTTATTTATAGAATATAAAAATTCAGAAGTAACTTGATTATTTGAAGAAAAATCACTCGATGGCTTGGTATTCAAGTTTTTATGAATAAAAAAATCATTTTTATTCTACTACTTCATTTCATTCTAAAAATGTAATTAATTTGTATTCTTCATCCCTATTTCTTCAATATTTTCACCAGTTTATAAACTAATTTTATCAAGATAGGTTATTTCTCTAACAATATCTTCTTAAATTTAGCTGGTCATTACTTTACTAGCATTATAGTTGATATTAACCACATTCTTGATCGTTTTATTAGTTTTTGGTTACTCAGCATATTATTTTTTTCCATTTAAACATCATTTGCTATTTGCTCTGAGAGATTTATCAGCTTTTACTGTAATTATTTTTTGACTTATTTCTCTTTTTCCGAATAAAGCTGAAAGTTTGTGAAGAGGATGGCAAAACTTTTAATCAGTTATTTTACTTGATTATTCTTTATTATTATTAATTCCAAATGTAAAACCTTTTTTAGATTTTGAAGGCATTACATTCTGCTTATTGTCAAGTACCGTATGTACCATAGTTTTAACACTGCTTTTTACCATTTATTAATTATAATTTTCACTTAACAATAAATATACAATTTTTACGGGGTTTTGGGGTTTTGGGG